CCTGTCTTCCTGTTACTTCTCCAGCTGGGTACTTGGCATACGGTGCTCTTTGTCAGTGTGGACAGTACATTCTGAGAAACTGGAAGAAGGGACCCACATTGGGAATGAACTTCGGCTGACTTGCCTCTATCAATTACACAACTCCAGGTGGATGCAGAGTGTGAGGGTGAGTAGTTTATGAATATGACTTATCCTGTGGTCTCCTGAAATCATTTCTTATATGCCTTCATCATGAATCCAACCACAATGGGTTCACATTCCTGGTTCCTTATTGGCCCAGGAATTTGTATTTAGTTTAAAAACATAGAATGGCCCAGACATGGTGGCTCATGCCTGTAATCCCAGCACTTTGGAAAGCCAAGGTGGATGGATCACTTAAGGTCAGGAGTTTGAGACTACCTGGCCAACATGGTGAAACCCCATGTCTACTAATAATACAAAAATTAGCTGGGTGTGGTGGCACACGCCTGTAATCCTAGCTACTTGGAAGGCTGAGGCACAAGTATCACTTGAACCTGGGAGGCAGAGGTTACAGTGAGCCGAGACTGTGCCACTGCACTCTGGGTGACAAAGTGAAATTGTGTCTCTAAATAAATAAATAAATAAAATCAAAGCGTAGAATGAGGGTTGAAGCTGAAAAGAAGCAAATCTACAACTTAAAAAGCCATCGAGGCCAGGCACTGTGGCTCATGCCTGTAATCAGCACTTTGGGAGGCCGAGGCAGGCGGATCACCTGAAATCAAGAGTTTGAGACCAGCATGGCCAACATGGTGAAACCCTGTCTCTGCTACAAATAGAAAAATTAGCTGGACATGGAAGGCACCTGTAGTCCCAGCTACTCAGGAGGCTGAGGCAGAAGAATCCTTTGAACCTGGGAGGCGGAGGTTACAGTGAGCTCAGATCGCACCACTGCACTCTAGCCTGGGTGACAGAGTGAGATTCTGTCTCAAAAGAAAATAAGTAGGTAAAACAAAAGAAGCCATTCCATAAGTTATACATTGAGACTATGTTTGCATGTTAATATTCAGACACTGTAAGTGAATAAATATCTTCTACAAGGAAATCATAATATTAAGAGTAAAGTGTATCTTTAAAAATATTTCACTTTCTAACCTAGCAGAGAGTAAAATCAACTTTGATTTTTTAGTGTATACGGTACTATGACTTTTAACAAATGTAAGATTTGTGTAAACTACCACCATAATCAGAATACAACACAGTTTTATTATCCCCCAAAAGTCGCTTTATTTACATCCTCAACTCCTGAACTCTGGCAACCACTGATCTGTTCTTGCCAGCATAGTTTTGTCTTTTTGGGGATGTCATATAATGAAATCGTTTAGTATGTAACCTTTTGAGAGTGTCTATTTTAACTCAACTTAATACCTTTGAGATTTATCCAAACTGTTATGTATATCAATAGTTGGTTCCTGTTTATTCTCGCATAGTATTCCATTATATGGCTGTACCACAGTTTGTTTATTTGTTCTTCTTTTGAGGGATGTTTGAGTCGGTTCCAGGTTTTGGCAGTTATGACTGGAAATGCCATAAATATTTGCATACAGGTTCTTGTGTGTTTTTATTTTTATTTTTTTTCTGACCAGATGCTGGCAAACTCTTTCTGTAAAGGACCAGAGAGTAAATATCTTTGGCCTTGCTGACCATGTGGTCTCAGTTGCAGCTATTCCACTCTGCTGTTAGAACACAAATGCAGCCATAAACAATACACCAATGAAAAGGACCTGGGAACTATGGGGCTGCTGCTGGATTTGGCCTGAGGACATAGGTTGAATCCTGTTCAAGGGTAAATACTTAGGTATAGGATTGCTGGGTCATATGGCAAGCATATGTTTAATTTATAAAAAATTGTCAAACTGTTTTTCAAGACTGATTATACCATTGTACTCCTACCAGCGATGTGTAAGAGTTCTGGTTCCTCTATGTTCTTGTAAAAATTTGGTATAAGCAGCATTTTAAACTTACACTATTCTAATAGGTATACAGTAGTATGTCATCCTGGTTTTAGTTTGCATTTCCCTAATGGGTAATGATGTCAGATACCTTTTCATGTGCTTGTTTGACGTTTTTATGTCTTTTTTTAGTAATGTGGCTTTTCAAGTCTTTTAACCATTTTTCAAAATTGTGTTATTTACTTACAGTTGAGTTTTGACAGTTTTTAATATAGTCTGGATACATGACCTTTGTTGGATATGCGATTTGAAAATATTATCTCGCAGTGGGTAGCTTGTTTTTTTTTCATTCTCTTTGTAGCGTCTTTTGCAGAAAAATATTTTTCATTTTGCTGAAGTCAGTTTATCAGTTTTTTCTTTTATGGAGCATGCTTTTGGTGTCATGTCTAAGTATTTTTGCCCAACTTCAGATCCCAAAGGAATTTTCCTATGTTTTTTCCTAAAATTTTGATAGCTTTATATTTTACACTTAGATTTATTATCTATTTTAAATTAATTTTTGATGTGTGCAGTGTAGAGTACAACTAATTATGTTGTGTGAGGTATAGATTGCAACTTATTTTTTGTGTATGAGTGTTCAGTTGTTCTAACATCATTTTCTGAAAAAACCACCTTTTCAAATTGAATTGCATTAGTATCTGTGAAAGGAATCATATGGCCGTATTTCCGTGGGTCTACTTTTGGATTCTGTTCTGGTCTGCTTCTTTTTTCTTTTGCTAATACCACATGGTCTTGATTACTGTAGCTTTCTAGTAAGTCTTCAAATTAGGTAGTGTATTCCTTTAGTATTTTTCTTTTTCAAAATTGTTTTAGTTGTTCTAGTTCCTTTGCCTTTCCCTAAGAATTTTAGAATCAACTTGTCTATATCTAGAAAAAAAATCTTAAATCTATAGATAAATTTAGGGAGATGTACATCTTTCCTATGTTTAGTCTTTCAATTCTTGAATGCAGTATGTCTCTCCATGTATTTAGATCTTCTTTAACTTGTTTTATCAGTGTTTTGAAGTTTTCAGCATACTGTCAATGCACACATTTTATTAGATCTACCTGCATTTAATGTTTTGGAACAATTGTAAATGCTTTATAAAACTTATTTCCAATTATACATTGTCAATGTATAAAAATATGGCTGATTTTAGTGTGTTTATCTTATACCTGCATACTTGATATTTTTACTTATTAGTACTAGGAGTTTCATTTTTACTTTTTTGTAGATTCCTTGAAATTTTCTATTTAGATAATTATATCATCTGCAAAAAAGGACAGTTTTATTTCTTCCTTTTCAATCTGTATGCCTTTTATTTCTTCTTACATTGCTATACTGTCTAAGACTTTTAGTGTAATGTTGAATAGGAATGGCGAGAGTGAGTATTCTTATGAGCCCCCAGGAATCTATTTATAGTTTGCTAAGATTTTTATTAAACATGAATGGATATTGAATTTTGACAATTGTCAATTGATGTGATCATGTATTTTTAATTGTTTATACTCTTAATATGTTAGATTGCATAGTTGATTTCTGAGTACTAAACTAGCCTTACATTCCTAGGACAAACTCACTTTGTTTATGGTGTAATATTTTTTCATATATTTAGCTGGATTCTTTTTACTAGTATTTTGTTGAGGATTTTTGCATCATGTTCATGAAGAACATTGGTCTATAGTTTTCTCCTTTTATATTTTCTTTGGTTTTGGTATCAGGATAATGTTGGCCTTATAAAATAACAAGAATTATTACTTTCTCTTATATTTTCCAGACGACTTTGTGTGGAATTGGAGTTATTTCTTCTTTAAATGTTTGGTAGAATTTGTTAGTAAAACTATCTGGGCCTGGAGGCTTGTTCTTCAGAGAAGGATTGTAAATTATGGATTCTGTTTCTATAACAGTTAGAGTACTATTCAGTTTATCTTTTTTCATTTTGAATAAGGTTTGGTAGTTTAGGGAGGAATTGATGAATTTCATCTAAATTGAAAGATTCATGTACATAAAGTTGTTGTATTATTTATTATTCTTTTAATGTCTGTGGAATCTAGTGATATCTCCTCTTTCAGTTCTGATATTGGTAATTTGTGTCTTCTCTCTTTTTATATCAGCATTTCTAGAGGTTTATATATTTTATTGATTTCTTTTTCAAATAATCAGCTTTTTGTTTTATTTATTTTGCCTTTGTAATGTTTTCAATTTCATTGATTTCTGATTTATTATTTCTCTACTTCTGCTTGCCATGCCTATTCATTGTTTATCTCTTTTTGTATGAGGTAGAAACTAAGGTTATTGCTTCGATACCTGCCTTCGTTAGAAATAGAAGCATTTAATTTAATGATGTAACATCCTTTGAAGCACTGCTTTGTCTGCATCCTACAAATTTTGACATGCTCTATTTTCATTTTTGTTCCATTCGTAATATTTTCAAATTCTTTTTTGAAGCATCCTCTTTAAGTCTTGGATTATTTAGAATTGCATTGTTTAATGTCTAAATGTTTAAAGATTTTCTTGTCATCTTTCCATTGTTGATTGCTAGTTATAGTCAGAGGATATACTTCATGTTTTCTGAACCAGAGTATGGTTTATCCTAGTGAATGTTCCATGTGCATTTGAAATACATGAGTATTCTGTTGTCATGGGGTATGGTATTCTATTAATTTCAAGTAGTTCCCGTTGGATACTGGCATTGTTCCGGTATGGTATTCTATTAATTTCAAGTAGCTCCCGTTGGATACTGGCATTGTTCCGTTCTGCTACTGAGAAAGTGGTATTGAAGTCTCCAACTGTAATTGTGGATTGGTGGCCGGGTGCGGTGGCTCACACCTGTAATCTCAGCACTGTGGGAGGCCAAGGCGGGTGGATCACTTCAAGTCAGGAGTTTGAGACCAGCCTGGCCAACATAGTGAAACTCTGTGTTAACTAAAAAACACAAAAATTAGCTGAACATGATGGTGCATGCCTGTAATCCCAGCTACTTGGGAGGCTGAGGCAAGAGAATTGCTTGAACCCGAGAGGCTGAGGTTGGTTGCAGTGAATGGAGATCGCACCGCTGCACTCTAGCCTAGGCAGCAAAGCAAGACTCCCATTAAAAAAAAAAAAATCATGGATTGATCTGTTTCTTTTTTCAGTTCTTTTTTTTCATGTGTTTTGAAGCTCTACTGTTAGGTAATATACATTTAGTATGTTATGTTTTCTTGATGAATTGACCCTTCACCATTATGTAATGTCTCTCTGTATCCTTGGTGGTTGTTTTTGCTCTGAAATCTACTTTGTCTGATATTAATATATCTACTCTAGCTTGTTTTTGATTCATGTTGACATGGTATATCTTTTTTACATTTTGCTTTTAATCTATTTATATAATTATATTTGATTTGAATGATCTGTAGATAGCACATAATTGGCTTTTTAAAATAATGCAATCCTTATAATCTCTGTTTTTAGTTGATACATTTAGAACATTCATATTTAATATAATTATTAATATGCTATTCTTTAGATAAATCATTTTATTATCTATTTTTTGTTTTCCTAACCTTTCTAAGTTATTTGAACATGTTTTAGTATTCCATTTTAATTTAATTATTGTGCTTTTGACTCTGTCTTTGTATATATATTTTTAGTGGCTCCTCTGCCAGATATATGTATTGCGCATATTTTCTCCCTCCGTCTGTTGCTTGACTTTTTATTTCCTTAGCCATGTCTTTCTGAGCAGAAGTTTTAAAGTTTAATTTCTCTGAATGGTGTTGCTTTCTATGCTCTATTTAAGAAATCTTTTTCTACCCTCAGTTTGCAAAGATATTTTCTCATGTTTTCTTCTAGAAGTTTTATAGTTTTAGCTTTTATGTTCATGCCCACAATCAATTTCTAGTTACTATTTGTATATGATGTGATGTGGGAGTCAGAGTCCATTTTTTCTTACAGTTCACTCTTCAGTTATTCCATCACCACTTTTGAAAAAGATTTTCCTTTGGCTCTTGAAATACCTTGCCATCTTTGTTGAAAATCAATTGACCATATATGCGTAGGCCTATTTCTGCATTTTATGTTGTGTGCCATTGTTTGACTACCCTTATATCAATTTTAATTACTACTGAAATTTTGTATTCATGGGCAATTTACTTTTGTTTTTCTAGTTATATTTTATTTCCAACTGCATCTTCATCAGTTTTCTTAAGAATGCTTTGAGCCTTTCTTTTTGCTGTTTGTAGTATATTTATATACATGCTTGCTGTTTGTCATATTGCTCAGCTTAATATGTACAGCTTTATCTACTACTATTATTTGTTTTGACAAAATAAAGCTGATTTCTTTCCCGTGTTAAATGAGACCTATTTGCCTTTCTCTCTGAGCTGCAGTTTGAAGACATTGAGTATTATATGTAAGTTTTCTATGATCTGAAGGTGCTTGGTAGGTAAAGGGGTATGAGGATGGAGATTGGCTGAGCCCGAGGGTAGCCTGTTTTGAGAAACCTGAGCTGTGCTTTCTCTTCTGAGATTTAGTTAAAGGTCTTTTTTTTTTTTGAGACGGAGTTTCACTCATGTTACCCAGGCTGGAGTGCAATGGCGTGATCTCGGCTCACCGCAACCTCCGCCTCCTGAGTTCAGGCAATTCTCCTGCCTCAGCCTCCTGAGTAGCTGGGATTACAGGCACGCACCACCATGCCCAGCTAATTTTTTGTATTTTTAGTAGAGACGGGGTTTCACCATGTTGACCAGGATGGTCTCGATCTCTTGACCTCGTGATCCACCCGCCTCGGCCTCCCAAAGTGCTGGGATTACAGGCTTGAGCCACTGCGCCCGGCCTAGTTAAAGGTCTTAAACCAGGGCCTGTCTCCTCAGGGTGTGTCTTTTCCCATGGGTTGGAGGCTAGTCTCAGGTTTGAAGCATTTCCCTGGTTCATAGAGAACTGCCCAAAGAACATGCTCTTATCGGTTTTGATGGCCTCAGCTGAGGTCTAGAGCTACTGCAGCGATGGTTAAGACTCATCTGTACCAATGCCATTTTGCTTGAGTTTTCTACGCTATTATCCATTTCCTCATCTTGCTTTTCTTGAAACTGGAGTCTATGAGTGAGAATTATCAGTATATTTTCATCTTCTGTAGGCCAGGCATTCTGCAAAAGTCATTTCTTTTCTTTTTTGAGGTTGATGGATGAAGTTTTATCTACTTCCTTTTTCTTTTTTCTTGGGGCGGGAGGGAGAGGAGAAGGCTGTTTTTTCATCAGTGTGTTAGGTATTAATGAAATGTGGCTGGACCCTGGTCCTCGTGCTCTGCCGTATTTAACACAGATGTTGCACAGCATGGCTTATCCCTTCTTTTCTGCCTTTTATAAATTTACCTTCTGATTTTGTATTTCATATACCATATTATTGACTTGAGTTTTATGCTTTTCCCAAGTACTGACTGCAGAACTAGTTCTTTGAAAATTGGGACATTGTTACCAGGAAATAGAAGTGGCAGTAAAGAGAACCAAAGTCTTAGATAAACTATACTCTGGGGAAACTGGGGTTTATTTTTAAGGAAAATTGAATTATAAGTGCTCATTGTGTCTAGGAAAGAAGTGAGTAAGAAGATAATTTAATATCTGAAAGAAGCGGCTTGCTGAATATAATGCTCTTACTGACCTGACAATAAAGGAATGAGCTGAAGAAGAAACATTAATGTCTTCCTTTCCTGGAAGACATGGGATATATTCAGAAGAAATATTTTAATTTCATTGCCAACAGTGATTTCAAAAGTATCTAATACGATGGGCCTTGGAAAGAGTGGTATGTCATCTTTTGTGTTGCTGCTTGTTTCTGTGGCATTTTCTAGATCTTTATTTCTGATTTAGCAGACGGTTTGCTCTAACTAGACAAAAGAGTCCTCCATGGATAAGGTTACACAAAAACAGCACGTTTAGACGACAGCCTGCGTCGGTGACATTTTGCTGTAGGCCTCTTTGTTAGAAGCTTCTCTTACTGCAGAAACACCGTTGGGGATTAGTGGCTCACAGCATCTCCAATGGAAGCAAAAACTACCAGAAAATGGGAAATGGAGCCAGAAACCACAAACAAAAGAGACCATGGCAGTACTACACAGTGGGCCAATTTTCAGATGGTCAGTCTTTCTCAGCAGTCATGATGAGGAGGCACTTGGAGCCAGTTATCCTGAATTTTGCAACATATCAATTACCTCCTTTGTCTCTTCTTCAGTATTCTGCTTTCTTCACTTAAACCTTCTCTTTAGCTTATGAACGCCAAACAGTCTTCCTGCCCTATGAAAAATCCTGTCTGATTTTACTGCTGCCCTTCGCTCTGTGCTGATTCTGCTCAGTGCCAGCTTGGTTGAACGCAGCTCCAGTCTTGCTTCCTTTGGTGTTTTTTCGGGTTGTGTTGATAGATGACTGTGGGCCAGGCCCCAGATCGTCCCTTTCTTCCTTAAATGTTGGTGAACTGAGAGAGAAGGGGCATTTGGCACTCTGTACCCATCTCTCCCTGGGTGGCCTTGTCCCATCCCAGGCTTCAGCCATCACCTCTGTGGGTGGTACCTAAATCTCTGTTCCCATTCCTATCCCTTCTCCTGAGCTCCATGGCACATTTTCAGCCACAGTTAAAAACATACCTGGTTGTCCCATAAACATCTCAAGGTCACCACATGCACTGTGAAGCTCGCCTTCATTCACGTCAGCATCTCCCATGGTGAGGGTGCTGTTCTGACAGCTGCGTCCTCCTGACATTTCAGGCTTGGAAACGCTGTAGGAGACTTCGGTTCTTCCCTCTCCTTTCCTCACTGTCCTACCCACCTGCTGTGCTCCCTGTTCCTGTCCCCATACCATCAGTCACTAACAATTAATTTTCCCCTCTGCAATTTCTCCTGCATTGGTCCTAAATCCCTTCTATTCTCTCTATTACCCGCCTTCATTCATGTTCTCTTGCCAGCACATTGCTAGTGCTTCCTAAATAGTCTTTCTCCATCATCTCCCTTCCTTTAATCCCCTTGACTCTTCTGTCCAGATTTCCCACCTTGACACAGATGTCTCTGATCCTACCAGCCCCCTTTTCCTGCCTTTCCTACTCATTCAGGAGCTTTCAATGGTGCATGCCCTTTGATTGACATTTTCCACTTCTGCTAGGATTTATCTTGCAGAATTACACAAATGTGTGTGCACAAATTCTGACACACAGTTTACTGACATATTTGCTGTCATGTTTGGTAACAGCAAAAGTGGGTAGTAACCTCTATGTCCATCAATAGGGCACTGCTTAAATAAATTACGGTATAGTCATCTAATGCATAGAATAGCCTGTGGCTATTAATAATAATGAGGTATGTGTCTATTTGCTGATATGGAACAAACTCCAAGGTATGTTGGTAATTTTTTTTTTTTTTTTGAGACAGCGTTTCGCTCTTCTTACCCAGGCTGGAGTGCAATGGTGTGATCTCGGCTCATCGCAACCTCCGCCTCCTGTGTTCAGGCAATTCTGCTGCCTCAACCTCTTGAGTAGCTGGGATTACAGGCACACGCCACCATGCCCAGCTAATGTTTTGTATTTTTAGTAGAGACGGGGTTTCACCATGTTGACCAGGATGGTCTCGATCTCTTGACCTCGTGATCCACCTGCCTCGGCCTCCCAAAGTGCTGGGATTACAGGCGTGAGCCACCGCGCCCGGCCTATTGGTAAATTTTTTAAAAGGTGAGAGGCAAAACAGTGTATATATTAAATACATTTCTGTATGTGTTAAAAAGCACGATGAATATTCATCAAATATTTTTGGAAGATTACTTAACCCTGTTTTGTGCAATTTAGTTTTTTAAGCCATGTACAGTAAGTCCCACTTGATATAAGCAAGAGCTGAGTTCCTAAGGCATATTTCTCATTACAAACACATCATCAAACTCCCATATAAAGACCCAAAACACTTCTAATGTTAAACATTGAAATAAATGTGAGCTGCACATACATTTAAGAAAGTTTAAGAAAAAACAAGTAAGAGAATTATTTACCCAGTTTTTGGTGAATTGGTAAGTGATGGTGGTTGCAGTGGTGGTGGGTGCAATCAAGGAATAAATGTTTGCAAAGCAAAAATCATCAGGAGCACCTCCTACCACTAAGCAGCTCAAAAACAATCACAAATAGGGTGGACTCACTGTGCACACTCAGCCTGCATGAGATATTGTTGTGAATTTATATGATTATAGTAGACTTGATGAATTTTTATTTTATAATAATTTATATTCATTCATTCATTTATTGATTTATTCATTTTTTTGAATCCATTTATTTTAGTTCTGAGTCGAGGGTGGCTGGAGCACATCCTGGCAGCAAAGGATGCCAGGCAGGAACCAGCCCTGGACTGGATGCCATCCCATCTCAGGGCACACTCAGGCACACCCACACTCACCCTGTAGTATAAGTGGTGACCATGTAGACTTGACAGTTCACCTCACATGCACAGCTTTGGGGTATGGGAAGAAACTGGAGTTCCCAGAGGAAACCCATGCAGACTTGGGGAGAACGAGCCAACTTCACGTAGACAGTGGCCCTGGCTGGGAATTGGATGATCTTTCTCATCAACATTTCATAATCGCCCAACAGTTCACCTTGCCTGCTGCCTAGACAGAGCCAATTTATCAAGACAGAGGAACTGCAATAGAGAAAGAGTAATTTACTCAGAGCTGGCTATGTGGGAGACTCGAGTTTTATTATTACTCAAATCAGTCTTTCTGAGCATTCGGGGATTAGAGTTTTTAAGGATAATGTGGTGGGTAGGGGGCCAGTGAGTCAGAAGTGCTGGTTGGTTGGGTCAGAGATGAAATTATAGGGAGTTTAAACCATCCTTTTGCACTGAGTCAGTTCCTGGGTGGGAACCACAAGACCAGATAAGCCTGTTTATTGATCTGGATGGTGCCAGCTGATCCATCAAGCGCAGGGTCTGCAAAATATATCAAGCGCTGTTCTTAGGTTTTACAATAGTGATATTACCCCCAGGAGCAATTAGGGGAGGGTCAGAATCTTGTAGCCTCCAGATGCATGTCTCCTAAACCATAATTTCTAATCTTTTAGCTAACTTGTTAGTCCTGCAAAGGCAGTCTAGTCCCAGGCAGGAAGGGGGTTTGTTTTGGGAAAGGGCTGTTATGGTCTTTGTTTTAAACTATAAATGAAGTTCGCCCCAAAGTTAGTTCACCCTATGCTCAGGAGTGAATAAGGACAGCTTGGAGGTTAGAAGCAAGATGAAGTTGGTTAGGTCAGATCTCTTTCACTCCCTGAGTTATGATTTTGCAGTGGCAGTTTCAATGGTAATGAAATGACGTCGAAGGAAAGATACTATTTGAGGAGCTGCTGTACATGTTTACGTTTTCCCTAAAGGAACCTAGGTGTGTAAATAAATCAACAAAACCTTGCAGGCACTTCATATGGACTATAGAAACAAGTCTGGATTTCTGAACCAGCCTTCCATTAAAGCACCTTTGGATTTGGTGCCTGTGCGTGGACTTCGCCAACCAGCCTGAGCCCAGTGAGGAAAGACACAGACTTCTGATCACTGGAGTGGTGCGGTGGGCACAGCCGTGACAGAGTGCACTTAGTGCTAGACCAGGTAGACCCTTGGTCCACATGTCCTCATGTCAGTTACTGGATTGCAGAGACAATGCAGAGAGTTCCGTGGGGGAAGGGAAAAGGAAGATGGCCAGAGATGCATGAGTCAGGAGAGGGAGCGCCAGCCAGCAGCCACATACCTTCTGATACAGAGGGCTCAGGGGATTTTAACCACCAGACCATTCTGTTGTCTGCCCCTGCAGTGTCAACCTGTGTGTTGTTTATGGGGTCTCTGCTTGCTGATTTGAGTACGGGCCCGCACCCACAGGGTCTTTTCCACTTGGAACACTCTTTCCCAATCCCTGCATTTGCCAATCTTGCTCCTGCTTCAAGGCTGGCTGAGATCCCATGTTCATCTTTCCTTGCTCCTGGCTATAAGTACTCACCCTCTGCTCTCTGATGCTGGTAGCCTTTATCTGTGTCTGGGTTTCCATATTTCTCTCTTTCTACATGGGCTTATTGGGTTTTTCCTTGTCTTATCTTCCCTGCTAAAGACTTTAATGACATCCTGATAAGACCAGAGTCATTCAACTTTGTGTCTCCTCTATTCCAGTGAAGGCGTTTTCCAGCACTCTGGCAGTATTGAATCCTTGGTCTGGTCCCTCTAGTATAATACTGGTTAGTCCAAGGATCTTAGAAGATTTTGTCACTCTGAGATACCTCAAATGGCGACTCAACTGATGATTGATGGAAAAGGGATAGAGAAGGACGAATTGCTATTCCTTTAGCAAAGGAAGTAGGAGACATTTTAAGGGGGCAATTTTGGAATGGGGTGGGAGCCTGAGGGTGGCTCAGGGATGCACAGGGCCAACAGATAGAAGAGGCCCCTACGGAGCACTGGGAACAAGTACCTGCCACCAGGAAATCAGGTTGTAGTGTTCCTGTTCTCTGGTCACCACAGGAAGCTCAGCAAGGAGTCAGAGACTATAATTCTCTCAATTTGCAATGTAGATGGATTTTCATAAATGTTTTTACTTAGATGTTTCTTTAACTTGCTTATTATTTTCCATGAGAATGTTCCATGTTTTTAAGCCAATCTCACTGACTTTCTTCCTGCCCCCTTCTCCCTCAACAACGACACGTTACACGTGTGAAGCCAGTTGTTACACTCGAGAGTCTTCTGGCTGAGATTCTTTAAAATTTAGGTCTCACTTGTTCAATGTGTGTTTCTCAACTCTGTTTTACCCTTCTCTCTAAACTTAGCAGCTATTCTAGAGTTAGAGGTTGAATGAAATTTGTCTTGCTTGGCATTATTCCATCTTTTTTTGCAGAGGTCAGCAAACCATGGCCTATGGGCCAACCACAGCCTGTTTTTGTAAATGAAGTTTTATTGAGATTTGTTTTCATAATTGCTGTGCAAGGGTAGAGTTGAGTAGTTTTGCTGAAGACTATATGCCCCCAAAGCCTAAAATATCTACTGTCTGGCCCTTTTCAGAAAGAGTTGGTGGTTCCTTGTCATATTGTCTTAAAGTGTTCTCCCACTTCTTCTCTCCCTTCACCGTAATCCTATTTTCTCCTTGGCTGGTTCTTCTATTGTGTTCATGTCACGACACATCCAGTCATTCAGCCAATAGCATTAGCTGGAGATGCGGAGCCCCGCCCTCACCGAGTGACTGCCTTGTGCTCCTCCAGTCTGCGTGAGGGTGGAGGAGGAGCTGGTCTTGAATTACTGTTCATGGGACCAGGCACTAAGCTCAGTGCTTTACCTGCTCAACCTCTCCACAACTTACATGGAGAGAATGGAATTATCCTCATTTTGTTGAGGGTAACGAGGCACAGAGCAGCCTTGTAACTTGTCCCATGTCTCATAACTGGCAGGTGCCAAGGCCTGGCTGTGAACCAAGTCTGTCTGACTCCAGAGAGTAGCCCATTTTCTCCTCTGCGGTGCTATGGCCTCATAAAAACCAAGCCTAGCCTCGAGGCACGCAGGCTTTTGTACATGCCCCATCTTACTTCATCTTTCTGGCACACTCAAACTTTTACTACTTATGTTTGTCTTCTCTATGTCTTCTACCTAGAGAAAGAGAAATTCCTTAAAGACTTCGTTTTCTCATCCCTCCTCTTGCTTTTGCATCTTAAACCCATCTTAAACGCATATATATATACAATTTTTTTTGAGACATAGTTTTGCTCTTGTTGCCCAGGCTGGAGTACAGTGGTGTGATCTCAGCACACTGCAGCCTCCACCTCCCGGGTTCAAGGGATTCTCCTGCCTCAGCCTCCCAAGTAGCTGGGGTTACAAGCATGCACCACCACACCTGGCTAATTTTTGTATTTTTAGCAGAGTAGGTTTTGTCACGTTGGCCAGGCTGGTCTCGAACCCCCGACCTCAGATGATCCACCTACCTCAGCTTCCCAAAGTGTTGGGATTACAGGCATGAGCCACTGTGCCTGGCCTAAACCAGGCATATTTTAAGACTGTTCTTATTCACTCTTCTCTTCTGTAAGGATCTAATCTATGATCAAAACTGAAAGTGCCAGCTTTCTACAGAATCTGTAGTCTGCTTTTCTTCGTGAACTAAATTGTGGTCTTGATCTTTTGCCAAAGCTCCCATCTTTCTAATTTTTTATGGAACTTGTATTAAGTGTCTCCATGGCATTGAAAATTTCTATTCTTCCCTGGGACCAGTTCTTCCCCTGGGCCTCAGGGTTTCTGTTCATGGCACCATAATTCTTCCAGTCACTAAGATTCAGAAGATAATGGTTACATTTCCCTCTATCCTCCCTCACCTCCTGACAGCTCGTGTCTCTGTCATCTCGTGTATTTGTCCCTGCCTGTCCTATT